GAACAGAATGGCATTGGACGAAGTGAGTGAATCGACTGATGTGTTGGTGCAACGCCCCTCAATGGCTTGATTCCTAGCAAAATGAAGTCGAGAGGCACCTAGAAGAGGTTGATCCCACAGAGGGGCAGTATCTTGACGACCGTAAACTACAGGTACACACTACATTAGTGGCGCAAAGTATCTCACGAGCTAACCTTGCGTCCTCCATGGCTACCAGCAATACGCCAACCTTTTCTTCCTGCTTCAATCCGAGCCTCGTCATATTGCATCACTATGCCGACTAGTCAGCTTGTCCGAGATTGACACGCTGTTGCAAACAGTCATGTTTACGCTTTATGGAAACCAGTATGAAAGCAGGGAGGAACATCTTTTGCTCACGATGTTTCAGGTTTGTTGCAGGCTTAATATTTGGATGACATACTTTTTAGCTAATGGTGAATCAGTCGGTTCTTTCAGCACAATTCGAAACTGCGACAGAGTTTGGCTCGCTTCTTCGAGCCAACACGCCAGTATCGCGAATGATGACTACATATACAAGGCGAGGGCCTGGTCAGAGTTATTTGAAGTCCGTTCTTGCGGAGCGTATCAATAGCTTAATCGAACACAAGGATTTGAATCTGGAAATAAATCCTTTAAAGGTTAGCGCAGCCGCCCGCCACTTTTCGGCCAAACCCGATTAACTTTTTCCCAGGTCTACGAGCAAATGATTGATCAAATTGAAGAAGAGACCGGCACTCTACCACCGAACTTGGTGCGGGGAGTTCCTCCCGAGGTCGCTTCTGCAAATGCGGATGTTCAGGCCATCATCGCCCCTCGCCTTACTATGTTGATGGAGATCGCGAACAGCTTTTTGCTCACCATCATCGAAAGCATGGAGACGGTACCCTATGGTATTCGATGGATATGTAAACAGATTCGAAGCTTGACTCGAGTATGGCCTTAAAAGTGTCTGCAAATTGATGTCTACTGACGCGTGGTTTATTAGCGAAAATATCCAGATGCCACTGATTATGCGATATGTTCTCTGATTGGTGGATTTTTCTTCTTACGATTTATCAATCCGGCCATTGTGACACCCCAAGCGTATATGTTGGTCGAAGGTGTGCCTGCAAAGCATCCACGACGGACGTTGACGCTTGTAAGTTATTGTTTTTGGCTCATAACTGTGACGAGACTAATCCCGGTTGGTGGTAGATTGCCAAAATGCTTCAAAATCTTGCCAACAAGCCTTCATACGCAAAAGAAGCTTATATGATGTCCTTAAACCCATTTGTGGAAAACAACAAAGCACGCATCAATCAATTCCTAAACAATCTGTGCGAAGTTGGTGACTTTTATGATACTTTGGAGGCGAGTAATTCATAGAGACCCATCTGCATGGCCAGTACTAATCCGTGGATTCAGATGGACCAATACATGGCATTGTCGAAGAAAGACCTGCAAATCAATATCACTCTTAATGAATTGTATAATACACATTCACTCTTACTCCAGCACATTGATGTTTTGGTGAGCAATTCGTCAATTTTGATCCAGGGTATTTCTCACTCTTGTTGTAGTCTCCAAATGACAAGCAGCACTTGCGCATTCTTACGGACGAACTCGGACCTGCTCCTGCACAGGTACCTCGGAAGGAAAACCGAACAATCGAGCTGCCTCTCTACAGTCGATGGGAAACTCCTATCCAAGACATTACCATGGCCCTCATGTCGGAGAACAACGTTACCCAAAACGATATTCTCTACATGGAGACAAAGTCGATATTTGTGCAGCTGATACGCTCGCTTCCGGGTGCTGCTGACAAAAGACCAATCAATCTTCCTGCTATCGCGGAGCGCGCCGCCACGACTAAAGATGCCACGCTGGTTAGGAAAGGTATCAAGGTCAAAGAAATGTTGCGGGAGCTTGAGGAGCTTCACATCGTGGACAGAAAGGATGACTACAAACTCATGCAAGAAGAAGTTGCTGCTGAACTTGTTCATCTTGGGAACCTTAGAGAGAAGGTTGTTTTGGAGACTCGGTCGCTGGAAGCGGTCTACAAGACAATATGCGATCACAACAGTTATCTCCGCTCTCAACTCGAGCAATACAAGGCTTACCTTCAGAACGTGCGATTGACAGCAGCAGGCAAGGACAAGGGCAGCGCTCCAGTTGGTGTTATCACAGTAGGTGGCAAAGAGAAGAAATCAGCGAAGCCTACCGTACTCGGACCGTACCGGTTTACCCATGCCCAACTTGAAAAAGAGGGTATCATTGTGGAGAGTAACGTACCTGAAAATAGGTATGGTCAGATTGCATACTGTCTGTAACGTACTAATTTGGATCATCAATAGGCGACCCCATATTTATTTCAATATCACCTCGCCGACTCCCGGTACATTCATCATAGCTCTTCACTACAAGGGACGTGATAAGGCGATCCTTGAGATGGACCTGAAGATTGATGATCTGTTGGAAAAGGTTCGAGAGAGCTACCGTATCAATTTGTCGATGACATTGACCATATTTCTCCCTTTAGCAAAAGGACAATAAACATCTCTTGGATCTAGAGTACGTTCAATTGAATGTGGTGAAGGTGCTAGCACTCCTGAATAAGGTATGGAATGACTAGTTCCATGCAATGTAACACACAACTAATCCTCTATGCAGGTGTTCCGAAGCAAGTAGAATATCTATTCTACCTACTCAGCATTCTGCCTTTCATGTGTTGATTTCCTCTCGCTGGTTCGATTTTATGATGTTGTGCCTTTTCGTTCGTGTTCTGTCCTGAATGTAACTTAGGTGTAACTGCTTCACTTGTTAACGTATGCTATTGTCTTATCATTGAGTTGTCTTGTGGATTTTGAATGAGTGGAATTCGCGGGTAAACCAAGCTGCTGGATCAAAGATTTACACGTGGAAGTCCCTGAGCTCACCGCTACGTGAGAGTGGGACCTGGTCTGACGTGGAGGAGACACGCTTACATTTTAATTTGGACTACTTTCGATTCCCTGTCGCCGCTGAAACTCACCCAAAAGTCGGCCACTTCTCCCAAATGGCTTTACGTTCTTTTTGGTCCTATCTTTTATTAGCCTTCCTCGCACTCACCGTTGTTTCTGCTGGTGCAGATTACTACAAAGCTCTAGGAGGTCAGCCCAGGTGCAGCGCCTTGTCACGTTTTGCTGGCTAACATTGCCACGAATTTCTAGTGTCGAGGTCGGCGTCCGACTCTGACATCAAAAAGGCTTACAGGAAGCTTAGCAAGGAACATCACCCTGATAAAGGTGGAGATTCTCAGAAGTTTGCAGAGATTGCGCATGGTCAGTAAAGCAGTAGCAAGTTTACTCTATCATCAACTGACGCGTGGTTGCTATTCTTCACAGCATACGAAGTACTTTCAGATTCTGAGGTTAGTCAAAGTGTTGACTGCTGGATGAAATCTATGTAAAACGATTCACCTTTAACAGAAAAGAAGTATTTATGACAGACATGGGGAGGTGTGTCTATACAACAATCTTTGTACCGCTTTTGATTTAACGACCTCTTTTATCAACGATTAGGAAGGGTTAAAGGCTAGCGAGCAGGGTCGAAGCTCCAATCCCTTCGACGTCTTTTCCAACTTCTTTGGTGGTGGTCGTAAGCAGTCATGGTACACTCTCGTTGCTGTAATTCAATTAACATCTGTCCTATTTTCTTTTAAAGACGGTGGGCATGAGCAAGCAAGACGTGGCCCTTCGATGGTTTCTGAATTCGAGGTTAATCTATCTGACATGTAAGTGCATTCGTTCACTTAGGTTTAAGTCGTCTCTCACCTCGCTTTGCAGCTACAAGGGAAATCACGTCGAAGTAAGTTATAAAGTGATGTCTGCTGACTATATTGAAATACGAACCCAATGGTTTTACAGTTCAGAATCAACAAAAAGATCCTCTGCGATCACTGCCGTGGATCTGGTGCGGCACCCGGAACTGACAGTAAGGCTGAATCGCTACCATGGTCTTGTAACCTTTCTTATGTTACTTGGTATTGTCAGGCATCAAAACTTGTCCAGGTTGCCAAGGTCATGGTGTCAAGATGGTTCGACAGCAAGTGTTTCCAGGAATGTTTGCAACAAGCCAGGTCACGTAAGTGCAGCTTGCTTGCAACACACCCTTCGGTTACAAACCCACCTCTTACAGATGTAATGAATGCGGAGGTCGAGGAAAAATCATTCATAAAGTCTGCCCGCATTGTCAAGGAGCCAAATTGCACGATCACGTCCAATCTTATACACTTGATGTTACTCCTGGCATGCCCGAGGGCCACGAAGTTGTCTTTGAAGGCGAAGCTGACGAAAGCCCTGATTGGGAGGCCGGTGATATCATCCTGAGGGTGAGAAGCCGAAAGCAACAGGGTGGATTCAGAAGGAAGGAAACCAGCCTGTACTGGAGAGAAACGTTGAGTGTCGAGGAGGTGAGAGACCCTTATCCTCGTTCCTTCGCTATGGCGATTGACGACTTCTGTAGGCGTTGCTGGGCTTTGAAAGGAACATTACACATCTTGATGGACGTACACTCACCGTCAAGCGGAGCAGCGTAACTCAACCAGGTGGGTCTTCTCTAAACGAGAGTTGTGTATGAGACATGTCTGACGCAGATCGTAATTTTTTCCAGGATTCGTACAGACAATCAAGGGTGAGGGTATGCCGATATTTGAAGGCAAGGGACATGGTGATCTATTCATCGAGTATAACGTCGTTCTACCCACGACTTTGACGTCGTCACTGCGGAAAAGTATGTCACCAACGTAATGGCCATGCGTATTCACTCTAACTCAATTACCCTTTCCCAGAACTGACTGAAGCTTTCCGAGAAAGGATCACAAAGAAGGATGAGCTATAAATGCTGATCATGTACTTTCCATATAGATAACTGTCTCAATAATAGATGTTCCATTTGGAAATGACACGGTATCTCATACCGATCTAGTGGAGCCCTCGTCCCAAGCAAAAGGATTTTCACCCTCCATTCATAGGGCAAAAATGTGATCTTGACCAGGATCGAACTGATGACCTTATCCGTACATTAAATGTGAAGGATACGTGATAACCACTACACCACAAGACCATCTGACGAAATCTTGTTCGTCAAAGAATGTATTTTGCATCACATGATGTCATGCATTCACATGCATTCCAGCCATCCCGCATTGCGCTTGAACTATATATGACATGATGAAACGTATATAGACCCTCGTCACTCGTGTGTATAATGATCGAGGAATCTGATTTATCCCTTTGACATATATGGCATAGCACCCGAGAATATGAACGAGATTGAACAAAATGATACACGTAGATTTTGCGGGCAGTGGCCCGGAACAACGGGATAAATCGAATACAGTATTGTATCATACGTAGTAAAGTATAATAAAGCAAATGACGTGGGTTTCTTTCGGAAAAGCCCTGAGTGGTGGGATGTAAAAGGGCCGAATTGCCAAACGAGGCCGAAGGTGTCGGTTTTCGACCTTCCAATCTAGGAAATAGGTAGACATGGTGCCTGAGTGGGATACAGAAAACTATGATCGATCGGATCCACAACGTGTTTATGTGTAGCAACCGCCGCAGTGGACGGCTCCGAAGAAGAAATGGGCTGAAAGAAAAAGGAAAAGTCGGGAAGTGGGCCGAAATAGACGCTGCGAACAAATGATATCGTGAACAATTTTTCCTCTTCTAATCCCCCTCAAAATCGATGACTAACAAGGGCTCTTGTTGCAGTCTTTTGTCATAAAGAACCTAATGAAGAAAATGATCATAGTATGAGACATTCTCAGGACACTGTGGTGCTGCATATTGTGTCTTCTTGATGGCCCATCACTCCCCATCGTCATCACTGTCCCCTGCATCATCAACTTGTTCCCCATTCTCATTGACGGGTAATCCAATACCACCGTCCCAGATGATTTCCCAAGGACGTGGGTGTGGTGCGGATGATAGATTCTGGGAAGATGCAAAAGTAGTGGGAGCAGATTGGGTTAGAGAAGAAAGTGCTGGATGACCCGGCGGGAGGGAGTTAATGGCAGCTTTCAAACTCTCCAGAAGAGAAGATCGAGTTTCGGCGAGATCGGTAATGTATTCGATGGCTATTGAAGATGAAACGGGGTCAGGAGAGTTTTGCGCAATTGGAAAGCACAAAAGATCCGACTAGCTGTCAAAACTCACTCTTCTGCAATACAACACTCTCACTTCTCGGGCCAGCCCTGCCGTCCATCTTTTCCCCATCTTCACCCAAGAGCCTTCCCCTACCCCTCTTCTTGCCCGGGGTAGCAGCACATGCGGCTTCCTCGGCTCGTATCGCGTCTCTGAGGGCAGGAATGACTTCGCATAGTGCTTCGTAACCTTTTCGAATATTGGCTCGGCGCTTTTGCTCGGAATGGATGTGGTTTTGCTTTTTCTGATCGACTGTGAGAAGAGTAGGTCTATTATTTGAGGAAGAAGCGGTTGTTGAAGACGCGGAAGGAGCGGATGATTCCAATTTGGTTGTTGATTTGACCGTGGCCGAATTGGACAAGGATGCGTGACTCGCGGAAGATGTAAGCATCGAAGTTCTAGAGTTTAAAGACTCCTTCGGGACCGATGAAGAAGAGGAGGCCGTAGCGACCGATGGGGCAATGGTCAATGGACCTTGGGAAGACGAGGCAGAATTGCTTGTGAGTGCCTGATGTGAGGTGTTGTGAGAATGAGAGCGATTCTGAAGTCGGGAGGACTGGGATCGGTCTGAGGCGATGAGTGCCTGGTCCTGAAGCTGCTCATTGCGGCCAGATATGGGCGCTGACAAGGGCGTTTGAGGGGCTGTGGAAGAAGTAGGTGTATTATAGAGAAGATTATGGAGATTTGAAGCCAAGTCGGATTGAGCGGATGCTTCAGAATCCCGCCGTCGCTTGGATGAATTGGAGGAGATGGGAGAGGAAGCGTCGGGTGGTGAGGCTCTCTTAAGCGAGGCCGGGAGTGAGGAGTCGATTGTGGAGAAGCCGTTAAGCGTGGATGGGATTACGAGAGCCCGAGGAGCTGTGGATGAGGAAGTGGATTGACGACGAGGTTGCTGTGAGATTGACGCCCCATCGGTTGCTACAGGCCCAGTAACGACCTGGGTGCTACTACGGTGCCTTCGTTGGGCTGCAGCGAGCTGTTGAGAGGACCTAGAGTCAAAGTTGTTGACATTTGTCCAACTGGGTGCATCTGGAAGAAATTGGTGGGGATAAGGACCAGACTGATAGGGTGGAGGAGGCATTGGAAGATTTGTAGAATTTGAGGATGACCAAGGGGGGTTAGTTGCGCTTGCGAGTTCCATGAGGTCCCTCGTCGCCTTGGCGAGTTGCTCGCGAGCTTTTGGCATTTGAAAGACAGTGGATGAAGGGGAAGTGTACAAAGCCCATTCTGGAGCCAAATTCAAATCATTAGCATTATTAGAGTATTGGTTATTGGAGTTGTTTGAGTCTTCCATGGAGTCGGTGATTTGAGAAAGGAAAGCGGCCAAGGCATTCGACTCTGTTTGTGAGAGCAGATTATGTACAGCATCCAGATTGGATTGAACCATTGCATTCATGTCGGACCCGACAGTTTCACAAGTATGACACCCTAGTCGTCAAATATCGGGGGAGGGTAGGTAACGGGTGAAAACGCAGGGGTCTCCTAAGATGTTTGGGGAGTGGGGGTTGCGTAGCCAATCTGTTGGTTATTGAGATCCGAACTGGGAAGGATGTCACTGACGTACTTGGAACAACGACAACGACGTCGACGGGGGCAACAAGAGCAAAGTGGACAGTGAATGGTTAGACTTTGGCCAAAGAAGAGATGATGAATTGCAGGTGATTTGCACTCCGCTTGAAGAGAAAGAACAGAATCCACGCGAATCGCAAGAGTCTTTCAGGTGATAATCAATCCGCGGTTTTTTAGCCCTCATTGAAATCGATTGTTTCAATCCCTGACGACATCCATCTCAAACATCCACACGGTCTTCCTCACATCCCGTCAGCATCTTTGACCGGTCATCATCTTAGCCGATACAAAAAACCCTGAGAGAATATCCATTCCTCTTTCACCTTCGACCATCTCTCTCACATGGACATTCCTCGTCCTCCTTCAGCCTTGTTGGCTCCTTCTCAGGCGACGTTGACATCCCTCAAGTCGCTCTACTCAAAAGCAGCTCGCTCATTCCTCCAACGAGATGTCGAGCACACCCAGCAATTAATCGACAATGCATTCGAATTCATCACTCCTCCAGTATCAACTCAAAGGGATATTCTCTCATCTCAGCGAAGGAAATGGGATTTATTGCGTATCACTCTCGAGACAACACTGTACACCACTCCAGACTCAAGACCGCAATCCCCAGACACCTCAACTTCTCCGTCATCATCAAAAATTTCTTCACAAGTTCGCTCAAACCTCTTATTGTCACCGCCTTCTCTTCTCGCGACCCTTCATACCCGATCCCTCCGCTTATTCACTCCTCCATATCTCCAACCTTCACCTCAATATCTCCCCGCTCAGATTCTCTTGGCTCTCGTATTCTCTGCACTTAAACTCGATTGTCCACAAGTCGCCAGGGGTATGATTGAGGAATGGCTCGCTAGAAGAGTTGTCTCAGATTCTTCACTAGAAGCTGAGCAACCAGACCCTAGCGCAGCCGAGGGTTATGCTAAAGTTATCGACGTCTATTGTCTCCACGTCCTTCCTAGGCTACACGAATGGGATTATGCAACAGAGTTCCTTAGATACGAGTCAGAACTCGAGCCATCTCATCGAACGGTATGTCGGATTTTGACATGTTCGTCATTATTAATCCCTTAACATCATTTTTTCCAGCATCTACAACAGTCCCTAAAGATTCTACACATTCAATCCCAAACCCCACCATCACCCCCTCCTCCATACAATACTCCACTCCCAGAAACGGGTGGCGAGAAAAAGAGTCAACAAGTCGAAAGCGCCATCTCACGTCCACTTTCACGAGCTTCTTCAACATCTTCGGCTTCGACGCGTACCGCCGTACCGGCCACACCAAGACAGTCTTCTCAACTCAATACTCAACACCCTGACTCGAAAGTCATTGATGCAAGGAAAGGATCCCGTAAATCAACGGGGCTCCGCAGAGGGGTTGAACAGAAGCGAAAGTCTACAGGAGTGTCGACACCCCTGTCAAACGAGCTTCATAGTTCATCCTCCTCTTCTCGGTCAAGGTCTCATTCGCCCGCTTCAATAAGCGGCTCACGGGCGTCGACTGTCAAGGCTTCACGTGCTGCCAAGAAATCCACCAATTTGCACCATGCTGTGAGCGGCTCAACTTCGTCCACCTCTTCAACTACTTCGTCCTCCTCAAAGGCGCCAACGACCATAACGACTACATCAACCCATAATCCGGTCCAAGATACCCTTGCCTTGATTCAACAGCACTACATGGCATTCAGGTTTACTATTTTGCCACAGCTGGCGAGCAAGCTGCCCATACTAGTTTGCGTCTTACTGCCATTAATCGCGCTAGTGGCTAAACTGAGGGTAGCGCGGAGCCGAGGGTTACATCGTGGTGGACCTAATGCCTTGGACGAAGCTAGAAGACGCCTGGAAGGCACCTCAGTTTGGAGGTCGGCTTGGAAGGCGATCGAAGATGCAGTAATAATGGCGGGGCGAGGGCTCGTCTGACACCTTACGACTATTGTCCGCATAACCTGCTCTTCCTGCACTACACCTAACAAGGATCTTCTTTTGTGTTTCATATTATTATGCTATCAGCTTCGTTTTGTCCACTGTAGTCATTCTCTCCACCCCCGCCGATACCACGGCTACAACAACATAGTTACTTGATTAATCCGCATTAATTACCAAGGTCGGACATTCACTCGGTCTACCCACTCCAATGTATTGGTCGTGCATGTTATATACCAGTTTTTCCATTCGCACCTTCGCTACCTTGGTGTTACTCCTTATGAACCTATAAAAAGAATGCACTTGTTGCTGCGGAGGGAACCAAGGGACTGTCATGTATTTTTTCGCGATATTTTAACTAATCCGGTCTCAATAGTCCAAGGCTATGGAGAGATCTGACGTAGATGCTATACCCTTTCACTGACGAACTCATCTGAGGCCGTTTTACTGCGGATCAACGACAATTCCATTTACCCGCTAAGGGTATCTTCGTCCCACCGATGCTGAAACAGTTACATGGTGAGGCATATCCGCCCCTCACACCTCCCTACTTGTCAGCCCTGATTTTCAGTGAGGCTATACTGCTGCCGATCAATACTATGAGATATCGCGGAGTACGGTCCGAAAGGGATGCGGGGGTATATATGGCTTTGAGGGCTTTGCTTTTGATGTATTGAATGTGAGGGGCACGTGTTTATAGTTTGGTCTTGGTGCTGATATTGCTACAAGCCAACCCCACAAACAGGACTGCGTCGCTTAGTGGTTAGAGCAGCTCGTTGTGGTTAAATTCGCCTCAGCGATTCCGAGCAGACGGGTGTTCGATTCACCCCGCGGTCATTCAACTTTTTTCGCCGTCAATGTTTTGGTTCATGCTTGTGATTTCAAGTCTGTGATT